GCAACCAAATTTGACAATAACCAAGTGTGGAATAGAACATTATGTGTGTAATTGCAAAAAATCTAAGTTCCTTCATGTTTGGTCCACCAAATTGATTGACTTGTAAAGACATGAGGTTGGATTTTAAGGTAGATATTCTAATACTTGAATCAGCAATACTCTAATCTGCTCTAAAGAGAGTAAAAAAAAAAGTTTTAAGTCAGTTTCAAGTACCCATAGCAAGCAACCTTTAGGGCCTATTTATAGGTCTTGAAATGGTATCCATGTGGTCTTTTTGATGAAATAATTAGAGCACGATGTGGCAAATAAAGCGAATATCTTGAGAATAAAGGTTAGCTATGCATAGTCTCACTGTACTTATTGTGCAATTGAAAAAATGATGACTTGACTTTGGACATCAAGTCATTTGACTTCGGCTATATTTAGTTTGAGGTAATGGCTGATGTTAGTGACCTATTTTGGGGTGTTTGAGAACCTCAGACTTGTCCTTACAATGTGCTTAATTTAGTGTGATCAAAGATTTGAAATAACTATGAAGAAATTGTAGACAAAACCATTTTATTTTTGGAAATTGGGGGCACATTGGGTTTATTATGGATATAGGGAAGAATAGGGCAAAAGGAGACAAATGAAACGTACACACCGTTTCATTTGGGATATCTTGGCAATTTTTTTACCAAGGTGTCGTGTTTTACCAATATCATTTTATAATTATGTAAATTAAAATAAAAATTTAATTAAAATCTTTAAAAGAGTAAAGAAAAAGGAAAAAAAAAATCCAATCCCTCTAAATTCGCCCATATTGAAGGGATTAGAAATAAGAGATTTGAAGGGGCTCCATTATCCTTTTATTGCCCTCCTCTTCGCCCCCCTCTTTTAATGAGTTTACATAAACAAGGGGAAGGAGAGACTCACTTTCTTGCCTTACCCTTCTAAATCCCTCAATCTAAACTCATTGTTAAAGTATGTAATAATCATTTTTATTTTCTTAAAAAAAAAAAAAAAACTATGGAGTGCCTAATACCTTTATTGTGCTTTAAAGATATAGATAGATGGGAACTCCTCCAATTTGCTAACATCAACACTCATCACACCTCCTCGACCTCAATAACTCCATTAAACAATCAAACCTTTCCTAAAGATGAGGAAAATAAGACTTTGGCAATGATTTGGAAAGAGTCTCAACAATTTGATTATAAGAAAAAATGTTGATTGTGTAACAAGCCATATTTGACTCATGATCCTGAACAAATTGAAGACAATACAAAAAGGAAAAAGTGTTATGTAATTTGAACTGCATTCGATTGGAAAGGGCATCTCTCTATCTAATGGCCCTTCTTTTCATTGTAAAATAGAGGACTCATACAAAAATGCTTCGCTCTAGAATAAAAATCTAGATTTGCGAGAAGGGGCATCAATATTACCACCAAAGGGACATTATATGCTAGGTAAAGTATGCAACTTTGAGAGTAAAGACTGTTAGTGTACTTTGTAAATTTGTGGAATGAGAAAAGTTCCACAATAGTCTTTTGAATTGAAAGTAAGTTACTAGATGAAAGGGGAGTTATAAGATTAAATATAACTATGAAATATAACTCTTAATCTATTGAAATGAATGGGAATTACAAGGTAAAATATAACTCTTTAATTGTTATGAGTGTTATAACTCATGACTTTTTATAAGAACGAATTAAGCTTTAAAATATGAAGAACTATAAGGGTTGAACAGATGGTTGTAAGAAAACAATCATGAGCTTTCATGCTCTTTATTAGACTATAAATAAAGAATTATATTTTGAACATGTTGAAGCAATTTCTCATTTTTACCTTTTACATAACCTTTCAAGAGAGTTTGATAGTCTTTGTTGTATCGTGAGGGTAAAATATAGTGGTCTACATGCCTTAAAGCCTTGAAATTTTTGTCTCTATTTTCTTTCTCTAACAAAGACTACAGTTAAACAGTTTTTGTAGCAATAATGACAACTACACAATACTTGGCTTCAACTAGCTTTGTTATTTAATGGATTTTCACAAAACCATATTTTAGCCCAAATAAACAAGATAGGCTAGAGTGGAGATCGAATCAAGTACATCACCGACTCAAACATTTGAGAAATTAACAAGATTAATATTAGAGTTTTTGCAAAACTTAAAGACCATATATCATAATACCTTTAAAATAAAAAAAAAAAAAATGAAAAAATCATTTTAAAATTGCATAACATTTGATTAGTAGAAGTAGCCTTACAATAAAAACTTATCAACAAATAAATAAATGTTGGTCTTGTAAGAGATGTAAACCAATAAACCGACGATAAAAAGTGAACATCAATAAAGATCACAAGAGACAGGAACAGAACATGTAGACATAGAAATGTTTACACCTTTAGTTTCTACCATTTTAACATTCTTAAGCGAATCATTTTTTTGTGATAGCAAAACACCATCAACAAGTGGAAGAGCTTCTACACCAAGAAAATAGTGTAAGACACAAAAATCCTTGATGGAAAACTTAAGAACCATAAGAATGATGAAGAACAAATAAGCTATTATCGGCCTTCAATTCAAGAAAACCAATATACATTAAAAAAGGAGCACAAATGATAAATACTAAACTTGTGGAGCTTGTTTTAGCCTATAAAGTGACTTTTGCAACTTACAAATAAAAGGTTGCAATGTTTGATCAAGAAAATGAAAAGTCTACTTTATACAAACATCCTATTTGAGGTTGCTTTACAAGAAATCATTGTTAACATCAAGTTGTTAGATGCATCAACCTTTTGAATTGCAGACACAATTGTGGGCTAAGTATCATCATGTGTCATTAAAATTAAGACCAAGTCTATTGTCAACAACAAAGGAAGTTCTTAGTGTATAGGTGCAACGATAAGCGGCCTCATGCTTATCAGCTAAGTTGCTGTAGTATGTATGGTTCTCTATCCATTATTAGGAGCAATGTTGTTGTAATGTATTTGGCTCTTTGTCCATTGTTGGGGGGCCATGTAGAAGTAGTAGTATGAGAAGCAAAGTCATGACCTTCATGTATGTTCGGCCATGTTGTCAAGTGTTCCCATGCTTGGTTGTGAATAAGAAAGCTATTGATATATAGCATATGTCTGTATCTTTCCAAACTTGTGCCTAATTCCATTTGCGACTATTAGCAAGAAGATAATATAACACATGTTTGATGTAGAAATAAGTAGTGTTAGGCTTTTTGGTTATAAGTTTTAAAGTTGGTCTTGTTAATGTGATGCTATACACGATTTAAATTTTAAAATAATATAAATTCACACTAATAATCAAACAAAAAAGAAGTAATTTGAGACAAATTTTGAGTGAAGAACGCCTGAAGTACTTACTAAATTTATCTTTATATATGTTATTTTTATCTTATAAGTTATAGTATAATAGTTTGTGATGGAAAAAAAATATTGTCAACCCCACGTAAAATCTTGGTCAAGCTCTGTCCCTGGCATTGAGCTTTAAATGTAGAGAATGTTGAAGCATCCTAGCTTTAGGTGCGTGGTTGGTGGTGTGACACAATGTGGCTATGCAAGCTTGGGAACAGTGGTGCTTGGTGGGTTTGCAATGACTGGATGCACTAGAGCGGCTTGCAGGTGGGTGGTTACGAGTCATTGAGGTATTGGGCAGGTCTAGGTTATTAGCAAGGATTGGTATATGTAAGATGCTGGTAGCTTTGGGGATTGGTGAAGGTGTGACGTGGAGGATAGTGTGGCTTCGATGGTGGGCAACAGGCTACAAAAGGGGTGTGGAAGGTAGTAGTGACAATGCATTAGTTGAAGATGATAATGAGGAGATTTGTAGTATAGGCCCTACAACTTTAATAGAGTGGACTATTAAACACATTTTTAATTGCATTGAAAAAAATTAATATATTTAATATATTTTTTTATTTTTGATAGTTTTTATATTTATTTTATTGTCAAAAAATAATTCTATTTTTATATTATTAGAATTTATTTGTATTTAGATCATAATATAGTATTTGATAGTGGTATAATTAGAAAATAATTGAAAAAATTTAAATATCCTGAATCTTTGGGTAGTGATTGATGGAGTACAATTTCTTTTTTATTATGCAGACCAATTGTTTGATTAGTTAGTTTTCTTAGTTAAATGCGCTTTTCTACTATATTTATGTTTTGAGTTCTTTATTAAGATAATTTAATTAGTTTGATCTCTTTCATTATTAGTTAATTTTACATACAATTGTTCTAAATTCTAACAAATTCATGTTTATCATCAATAATTTTTTGAGTTTAATGGTTAGAATATCTTTGGACATGTTTACACATATTTTAAAATTAATTTCTCTCTAATTTTGTGAAAAATATTCTTATAATTTAAAAATATGGTAGAGAATTAAATTTAAAAATAGAAGTAGGGTTAAAAAAGAATATTTGTTTATTTTAAATTAAAAAAATAATTTATGACATATTTTTGACAAAAAAAAAAATTACACGTGTTAAAAAAATTTTTGTTGGCCCCCAAGTTTTCGTCAAGCTCCGGCACCGCTCATACAAGATATGATTACTCTTGCAGGCTGCTTGAGCCATTTTCAACTAGTTTAATGATATTTAATAATAATAATAATAATAATAATATTTTTGTTATCTCAAAATAATAATTTTTTTTTATTTTGATTAGATAATAAAAAGTAATCATCTCTTATTTATTATCTCACTTCATCCGCATGTCATATGATTCGAATTTAGGATTTTTTACTTCCAACGGAAGAAGGTGATCACTAAATCATTTAAATAATTGATTAAAACAATAAATTTTTTAAATTTAAATTTTGTTAAAAAATAAATCTTTTTTTTAAATGAAACAAATATTTTTTTTTGCTTTAATTTTGTTATTATCTTTTAACTTTAATAAACTATCTATCAATAAAAAGTCTCTTTTTATTTTTAATTTTTTAAAAATAAAATAAATAAAATATAAATTATCAATAAATTTTTAATCTGAAATTAAAACTAAAAAAAAAACTATTATTTGGAAAAGAGAGAGTAATAAAAATCAAATACATAATCTGATCTAGAAAATATCAAGGATCTCCAGTATCGGACGGTTACAGACGGGACAAGACCCTCGACTGACCCACAATTCCCTGGAACAAACCCTGCAAAATGTGTGCCCACAGGGAATAAGAGCAGCACCTTTCTTCCTCTCCATGCACACGCAGCACACCCAATCATTTCCTCCTCCGTCATCAACGCTGGTTTTTATCTCCAGATCCACACCGTCCGTTTCTTCAATCAATTTCAGTAGCGTCTTAGCTTCCGTTGAAGACCCCACTTTCGCTGCCCGCAAATTGCGCTCCGCTTCTAGTGCCATAGCAAGGTTCATCCCCGTTCCTGGCGCAACAACCCCGCCAGCAACCGCCGAAGGGGCTCTGATATCGTTGCTGGCAACATTGCCGCCAAGGATCAGTTGGTTTTCAGGCTCCTCTTCATCTTCTTCCGCGAGGTGGATGCTTAGAACTCTGTTACTCCAGCTGCCACCGCAACAGCCCATTGCTATCCCTCTCACCCCTAGGCGTCGTTTTAGATTGGTCCACTTCCTCCTCCTCCTCCTTCTCCTGTCTACGCTGTCCTCCATTTAAGAAACTGGAAAGTAAAGGAAGAACAGCAGAGAAGCGAAATGGGTGACGATATATAAGCTTTTAGCCTTTTCCATCTTCGTCTCATGGAACAAACTATAAACGAATACCGAGGGGCCCAGCTTCTAGCCTTTTACACCGCACCTAGCTCAAGCTCAACTATTCCTCTAGAAATGTTTTTAAAATTCGGATTACACGTTAAAAGTAAAGTTTATACGCCGCATTTATCAAACTATAGTATTAATAAATATTTAAATGAAAGAGTTTCTTTAAAGCTATTGTAATAAAAAACGTCTTTGTAGATTTTATCTATTTAAAAACTACTCATATTAAAATTTAGAGGTGTGAAGTTAAAAAAAAAAAAAGGTTAGTTATTTTAATAATTGAGGTATATGAAGTGCGTTTGTAATGTATAGTTTAATTTGGAGAATATTTTAAATATATATTGAATTTATTAAATTATATTATAAATAGATATATAAAAAAATTCTATAAAAATATTTTAATAATTTTAATATATGAATTATAATTTTATTGTACAATTTGACATCAAAATTAAATGTGTTTCATTTTGGATGCAAAAGTAACTTGATCTTCACCCTCCCATTATGTGTGTATGTTTTTTTTTTTCTTTTTTTTTTTTCCCTTTTTTTTCCTTTCTAAACAGTGTCCAGCGATGCCTCTATTTTATTTTATTATGTTTTATTATTATTATATTTTTGCGGTGGTACAAGAGGAAGGGAAGAGGGATTGAGAAATAAGAGGGAAATAAGAGGGAAAAAATAACAGTCTCAAATTTGGGACCTGATTTTTTTTTTTTTTATTTAAAACTATAATTGTTAATTTAAATTTTAAATTCTTAGTGACTTAAATCATCTTATTGAAAGCACTCTTAGAGATTTAAGAAGCTAAAATATGTCATTTGAGATTTACACAACTTTAGATAATAATTAGGATAGCAAAAAATTAATTCTTACTAACAATTAAAATACTAAAAATGATTGTGAAAAAACTATGATACACTTAATGAATCAAAATAGAAGAAAAATTCATCACATAGATTTATACAATTTCATTGAATTATGCATTTTAAATGCCAAGAATTTTTTTCACGTAATAATTTTATATAACATATGATTAACAGTTAAAATCATTTTTTTACTATGATATATAAAAGAATAATTAAAATTATGTGAAAAATAGTAAACATCTTACTTGGTATATTTTGAAACAGAGAGTAATTATCTACTAATCTATTTTGTGCAATATGCATTACCGCATTGTATTCCATCATAATCTTTAATTTACGTAATTACGGGATCATATCTTATTATCATGTGTATGCGAATTCCACCTTAATTTAAATGCTAGTATAATATAGAATATACTTAGACTGAGATTCTTGGTGGCCTTGGAATGGAACAATAAGCGTGGACAGTTTTCAAAGAACAGGGAGCCATACAATCAATTGATGGTAGCTTTCGCCCCGCAAAGTCAAAAAGCCGTGAAATCCGGCCAATTTATTTGATAATCGAGATTAGCATGAGATCAGATCATCTATTTTTCTAAAATTATGGCGACTTCCGGATCTGTTACAACCGGGAAAAGGGAAAAAAGGATTCGGAAGCAACATGCAAAAATCATGAGCTAACTTTGATTTCTCGGGTCCACGCCAGCAAAACGACAGCTGGAATTCGAGATATCAGGCACTAATTAAGCTTACCAACATTTCTGTTTTTCTAAATGGATTTTTGTTTAATATTTAGTAATTAAAAATTGAATTTTAGACCTGTAATTAAGAATATATCTAATTCTATCACTAGATTATATGATTGATGGTATAAATATATTACATAGTATGTTCAACAAAAATATGTATTAATATCCATATATATATATATATCAAGATTATCCCTAGTCAAGCCCCAGTAAGTTTATCTTTTTCTAACTGGATTACAAAAAGAATACAACACCCCTTCACATGCTACAACATAGAAGGGGATCTATTACTAAGCTGTTAAAAGTTATAGACCATAGCTATGCCTATGCAATAGATGGATGGAACTTAAAAATCAAATGAGAGGTTGTTGTTAGATTCATAATGGTGGAGAGCAACTGCACTCACCTTATTGTTTATCGGAAGATCTATTGTTAGTCGAGAGGTCAGTTTTGTCATCTGTGTTCTCAACACCATCCAAAAGGGCAAGCGTCTTCAGGAGAAACCTATGCATGGTGAATCACCATTAATGATTAAACAACATATATAATGTGGAAGATCAGTGGAAACCAAAATGCTAGCTACTATAATGTTTCAAGACCAAATTTGTTTCGACTTAAGAAAATCTTCTCCTCACTCAAAATGATTGCAGAAAAGGTAGATTGGGACTTGAGTAATGATACATTTATACAAAACCCCAAATCAAGCCCTCCCACTCAACAAGATACAGCAGACTTAACAATAGTTGACTAGTTTTATAGCTTTTCTTTTAAATGTAAAATATATTTATGAGATTAGTGAGCTGCCCTCTAAAAAATTAGAAGGAATAATGTGGGGAAAAGACCAAGGATGTGTTTGATATAGCGATTTGAGAGTAACACTTAGTAGTTTTGCCCAAACAACTAAGTATATGTATTTGGTAAACTTATATATTTTAAAATTATTAATATATATTAATATATATTGGATTTGTCTTTTGAACTCTAATCCTTC